AGCTGGTTCAGCTGTCGGTGAATCAGACACTGTCTAAGCAGCTGTCACCTGCGCTCAGGAGGGGAACAGGGGGCGGCCTGGGGAAGGGGGAGGATGGGTGAGTGGAAGATCCAGTACTGGCCTGGGCGTGGGGTGCCGCCTGGGGCTGGGGAAAAGGGTGTCTCCCTTCCAACACATGCACATTTCTCAACCCGGTCCCCACGACACGGGGGTATCGGGGGTCGGGGGTGGGACGAGGGCCTGGGGACACAACTTAAGTGGGAATTGGAAGCAAGGGAGGGGCTGGGAGGGAGGTTGGAGTGTACTGCGGCGGGAAGCGCTGGGGTGCAGGGCTGGCGGGGGCCGCGGGGCAGGCTGCTGCCGCCGCCTGCCCGCGCGGGGTTATGTGAGGTAACCGCGAGCCGGGAGGAGGAGGGAGGCGGCGGGGGCCGCGGGCCGGGGTGTCTAGCGCTCGTTGGACAAAGAGATGATGAAACGTGAGCGCTATATTTACCAAGGGGGTGGAGACCGAGCGCGGGGGGGGGGGGGGGGGGGGGGGGGCGGGGGGTTAAAAAGGACAAACTGTTCCACAACAACTACAGGAAACACAGCCCATCTGACTCACCGGGAGGGCCCGCCGACCCCCTCTCAGGCTTAGCCTGGAGGCCGGCGCGGGGCTGGAGGGCGCGGAGGGTCCCCGGACCGACCCAGCCCGGCGCTACGGCTACAGCTGGGGGATGGGTTGATTTATATAAACAAAGGCAGCTTAGCTCCAAGGGCTACGTGCGTGCGTGTGGCTTTTGTGGGGCAGGGGAGAGCGCGGAATGGCACGAATGTTTCCTAACCCCGTGGCCCCAGCATCCAGTGGCCCGACCACCGCGGGAAAGGCTTGCCTGCAAACTCCGTGAGCACGATTCCTGCAAAGTCATCTCCTCCCGCACAGCCTGGCTAGCCGGCCCGCCCCACCCCGCCGGCGGCCGGCAGCACACGCCTCCCCCGCTCTCCCCCCTCCCCCGCGCTAGCCCAGCTCGCGGCGCTCAGAGTTGGGGTGCGGTGCGGGCTATGTTTAGAAGCTGATGTCATCCGACACCCTACTCCGCAGTGTTCCCAAGGGGACCGTAGGGCAGGTTTTCCTCTTCCTCGCGGGCGTGGGTGATGGAGAAGGTGCCTCCTCCCCCCAGTCCTCCACACACACACCTGTCTTCCCCCAGGGAATTTTTTTTTAATGCAACCCCGCCAGGGTTATGAAACGGGGGCCATACGCACAGAGGGCGCAAACCCTAGGGCTTGGGCCGCGAGGGCCCAACGAGCAGCCTCCGCCCACTCCCACCCCTTCCCGACCGGGTGCAGGGGCTAATTTCAAGGTTAGCTCACGCGGGCGCGGGCGCCCAGAGCTTCTTGCACGAGTTTGGGGCGGGTTCCTCATCCCCTAATCTAGGGCAGTTTGTTCAACTGCAGTAAAGGGAGCTTGATGTTCCAGCAGGGAAGGGATTTCTGAGAACTGGGACTGTCCTCAGATGAACTCGCCTCCTCCGGCTGCTGCTGCGGCGGCCGCCCGCGGAAGACTTTTTAAAAGGGCGACGCCAGGCCGGGGCGCGCGGCCGGCGAGTGGCTGCGCCGCCCGCCAGTCTGCGGCCCCAGCCGAGCGCCCGCCCCCGAGCTCGGGTGATTCACCGTGCGCGCGGCGTGGGGCTCCTCCGAGCGCGCGGGGCTGAGAGCTAAACTTATCCTCCTACATATGCATGAACGGGTGGCCTTTCGGCTCGGCAAAGGAGAGGCCTGGAGTTTTGCGGAAGGCTGCTAAGTGGAGCGAGAGCAAAGTAGGGCGTCGTGCAAGTTTTCGCGCGGGCCGGAGGCCCCCCTCCCTCTCCAGCACCTGCGTGTTAACTGTCGTTATGGCCACGGGCATTACAACAGATAGGGAGGGCTTTACCTGATTGCATTTCAAATCCAGGCACACCGCCATTGTTGGAAGCCCGATCCCTTCAGCCCCTCTTGCCTCCTCCCTTCTCCCCAAACTTGCCACCTTCCCCTAATTACCCAGGTTTCACTAAAATAAACACTGCTTCTCCTCCTGCACCCCCGCCCCCCAGTATGCCCTGTATGACTTGGTGGGATCAATGAAGCCGAAGGACCTGGGTCCTGAAAGAAGTCTGGAGCCAGCCCAGAGTGAGGTCCGACACGTGATCCCCTACCCCCAGCGGGCCATCTGTTCTTCTTCCTTCCAGCCGGGAGGCTGGCAGCTCTGCCCAGCACCGTCCACGCCTCCCAGCAGGAAAGAGGGAGAAAAGCCAGCGTTGGAACCCACTACCTACAGAGTGCGATTTTAACCTAAAAGTCCCTGAGCCTTGGGCAAGGGGGAGACTGGGCAATGTGTATTTTAGATTAAGCTCCAGGTGATTAGCTCCCTCCATTTGAATTAAAACCTCCAGGGAAGGGGCCTGGGAATGGTCTGCGTGTGCCTGGAACTATCTCACTAAGAGCTGGGGTGGAAAACTGGCCTAGGAAGAAGGGTGGGATTCTGTAACCCCTCCCCCTCCCCACTCGCTTCCCACAAACTAGTTTGAAGAAAGAAGCAGCATTATAACAAGAAATTAAGGAATAAAGGATTTAAGGGATTTGGGACGAATTTATGTTTGTGTCTGCTAGCCAATTAAATTAAGACACCTTCACTGTCCTAAAGAGCTGCATTTGTAAATGCACAGCAGATGAGGTGGTGTTTAAAGAACCCAAGTCTTGCCTAGAATTTTTTGGTTGGAGGGAGGACCCCTGGAGTATCTGGAGTTTGGAAGGGACTACAGAGATGTATTCATCTAATCCCATTAATTCACTGATAAGGACGTAGCTCTAAGAGGTTGCCTAAGGTCACACAGCCACTCTCAGGCCCAGGAGGCCAGTTCCCTGCCCCTTGCTGGCCTAAACTGAAAATCAGCTCACTGTAGGCACTGTCTCTTAGGAGGGTGATAATGATAATAAAAACTTTAGGATGCACAGAAAATCAGACTTAGATGTTCTTGCTACAAGCCATTGTTCTTGAGAACTGGGAAAATAAAGCCAAGGTTTAGGCAGAAATTAGGGAGGAAAATGCATACTTACAAACTGTAAGCACAGTTCTAGTCTTCGAATGCCCGTGCTCCTCCCAGTTGGTTTGTGTGGATTTGAAATGTGTATTTACAAAGATTAACTTGGGGGAAAACAGACTTCTTATATTTATGTGGCATAATATATACTTTACTATAAATTATTCATTGCAATTTGGAATGATTCACATTGATCTGGGATAATTTGTTTTGCCAGAATTTTAATTGGGACAACCACATGCTGGCAAAACAGCATTAATTGGTTTAAATTATAATATGCACTCTAGTACAGAAAGGAAATCCTATTGTTGAAAACACAAGAAAAAATCCTGATGTAGGAATTATTACTTGTGAGATATCTATATCTATCTATATCTATAGTTGTTTTTAACATATAAGCCTCATTGAGGACAGACTGCCTTTTCATTTCTGTATTCCCCCATGCCTAACTCACTGACAGAAACATAAATATCTGGAGAGTGAATACGTGGAAGAGGAGAAAAAGGAGAAAGCAGTCTACAGTTCTAGAATTGTTGGGTTTAAAAAGATATTCTAAATCAAGTAGTAGTTATGTTTTTAAGTGTGTGAGACAAATTCATGTAAATGAAATCTGAGTTGTATTTTATTACTTTCTTGTATAGCTCTGAAATGAATGAGTTGGAAGAGTTCAGGGTTTATGTCCATTCCAAACAAAATTAAATTAAAGGGAGTTAAAGAGAAGAGGGCAAGAAGTAAGTCTATATAGAAAAAAACACAAAAACCTATGATGATTGACTTATTCAAGTTCCTGGATTACAATCTTCAAGGAAAGATACAAACTTTCCTTTTCTGGAATAAGCCCGATGTTAACTCTAGGGCTTTCTGCTCTCTGAAGGTGCCCACTGCAATGCCAGTTACAATGCAAATCTGAGAGACTGTATAGGCTGTGCTCATGGGAGTCCTGGAGAGATCTTGCTGGTATTTGTGGTGGACCTTAAAGAGGCAAGCAAATGTGAAATTTCTAACTGATCTTGTATCCTTGGGGACAGAGTTTGTCCCAGAAAAATCATGAAGTAGGCAGACTCCCTTGGGCTTCAGTGAATTCTTTTCTAAAATTAAGGGGATTGGATGGCTAAGATGGCTTCACTTTACATGTACCTACCACCTACCTTAGTAGGATGGTGACGATGATATTCTTAGTTGACCAGCACCCCCTTTCTAAGCTTCCCTTTCCTGTGTAGTCACCTACTGCAGGATCTTTCTGTACCACTTTAAAAGCAAAGTCGAAATAAACTACTGTAGACTTCAAACTAGAAGGGTAAATTTGAGACCCTTCCTTTAGAGACCAAGAACCTGATGTAACTTTCCCAAACCTTAACAAAGGCTAATCGCCAGTGGGGGGTATGGTTAGACCTCACTGGATCTACATCACAGAGAAACAGGTATCCCTCACACCCACTTAGGAAAATAAATGTATTTTTAATCAATTCTGCGGATAGTACACCTCCGGGAAGAGACATTGGCCCTAGATAGATTCTTTTCTCAGCTATCAAGATGGAAAACAACCCCATCATTCCTACAGAGGGAGAGGCGAACATAGTTAATCAGACTCTAAGAGTCATACTAATTGTTAATCAAGTAATGCCACAATATTCAATGGCTAAGGATCTCTGGCTGGTTCCAGTTCTTAAGAATCTGTTAAGCAGAGTTAATATTTCACAAAACCAAAAGAGTTCAGTTGTGAAGCCCGAAGAGCTAGGAATCAGATTTATGTTTTCAATGGAGTTTTGTCACAAGTCACTTTCTTGCGTCTCAGTCTTCATATCTGTTAAGTGAGGGAAGGGATACACGCCCTAACATCCCACAGGAGTCTGTGGAAAGAAAATGAGCTAAGAATGTTGTTTTTAAAGTTTTAAAAGTTATGCAGGGATTTTTGTCTCCATTTATTTTAGGGAGGTTACAATAGCGTCAAAACAAAACAAAAACAGCTTCCTTAGAATAAATTGCACGAGGGAAGGAGAGGAATTGAGGTATCACAAAAGAAAAGATGAAGCGTTTCAAAGTAAGACTAGCCAGACAGAAGAAGGACTATGCTTTAAAACAGAACTTTTGTCAGCTCTGCATTTTTAAGATGAATTAGTCATAGTTAATGTATTGGGTGGAAGAATTATTAAAAATCTGCCCCAAAGTATGCTGCATCCTGAAACGGAAAAACGAATTGATGCTTTCTCATTTGTGTTTATTCTTGAGCAACTTGGCCTGACATATTGTTGTTTTTTTAAATTATTGACTCACTTTGCATTTATTTATCACCACTGCCCTCCCATACATATCTCGATTTTCCCATCAGCAACACAAAGTACAAGGATGTGTTCAGTTTCACTACAGCTCTTCGCGTTTACAAGTGTGCAGCGCTGGCCTTCGGAATGCCCTTCTGATTGGCTGAGCCAATGTCAGTGACATCAACCAACTTACTTTTGATTGGAAGACTGGTTGCTGGGACTGTAGCGTTTGCAGGAAGTCACTTAACTGTTTGCGAGCTGGAAAATGAAACTGAAGTTCTCTTTTGTCGTAAGAAGGAACGCAACCGAGTAGGGAAGGTGTATCCCACAGCTCCGCAAGCTGGAACGTGAGCCAAGAGGCCTGGACCGGCTAAGGGATTGAGAGACACTCCCAGAGATGCGCGGCTGCTCCTTTCCAGCCTCCCGGCTGTTACCCTTTTAAATGTCAGCGTTCGAGGCTGTAGAGGTAGCACGAGGCATCGAAACAGAACTGTCGGATTGGCCGCACGCCTCAGTTCTAGACGCACCTCTCCACCGAAAGACTGTTCTGACTGGCAGAGGAAGAAAGTAAACAGAGTTGAATCACCCTCCCCACTGGCCAATTGGAGGGGGTTTGGATTGTGACGTGATGGGATTCTGCGAAATTGTTACTGAGCGAGAGAATGCCGGAACGGTGCGGACCGGCAAGAGCAGGGGCTCAGAAGCCGTCAGTGGACTGGGGGAAAAGTGTCTCTTAGACCTGGCGCTTGGTCCGGCCCTTGCCACCCACGTCCGGGTGGTTGGGTGAATGTCCTAGGGCTTTGGCTGGACTGAAAAGGCGGCCGAGGGCGTGTACCTCTCTTGCAGTTTCCTCTCCCAGCGCCTCGGGGCGTTTTCGGTCGAATAAACTTGCGACGACCGCCACGTGTGGCATCTTTCCAGGGGAGCCGGCTCGGAGCAGACTGCGCGCCCGTCGGGCGGATTGCGCCCGGCTCTGGGCACCGGAGGCGGCGAGAGGCGGCAGCGCGGCGGAGCCCGGGGCCGTGGATGCTGCGTGCGGAGGCGCTGCCGGTTACGTAAAGATGAGGGGCTGAGGTCGCCTCGGCGCTCCTGCGAGTCGGAAGCGCCCCGCGCCCCCGCCCCCTTGGCCGCTGCGCCGCGCCGCGCCGCGCTCGTCGTCCGAGGCCAGGGCACGGCGAGCTGAACCTCCGCAGCCACCGCCAAGTTTGGCCGCGCCTCCGGGGCTGCTGTCGCCCGCACCATGTCCGCGGCCGCCTACATGGACTTCGTGGCTGCCCAGTGTCTGGTTTCCATTTCGAACCGCGCTGCGGTGCCGGAGCATGGGGGCGCTCCGGACGCCGAGCGGCTGCGACTACCTGAGCGCGAGGTGACCAAGGAGCATGGTGACCCGGGGGACACCTGGAAGGATTACTGCACGCTGGTCACCATCGCCAAGAGCTTGTTGGACCTGAACAAGTATCGACCTATCCAGACCCCCTCGGTGTGCAGCGACAGCCTGGAGAGTCCAGATGAGGATATGGGATCCGACAGCGACGTGACCACCGAATCTGGGTCGAGTCCTTCCCACAGCCCGGAGGAGAGACAGGATCCTGGCAGCGCGCCCAGCCCGCTCTCCCTCCTCCACCCTGGAGTGGCTGCGAAGGGGAAACACGCCTCCGAAAAGAGGCACAAGTGCCCCTACAGTGGCTGTGGGAAAGTCTATGGAAAATCCTCCCATCTCAAAGCCCATTACAGAGTGCATACAGGTTAGCGGCGTCTCCCTCTCCCACCCAACTCTCGGGTTAGTTAACCTTTGGCCGGGCAGCCTTCCTGGGCGTTAAAGGACACCACGCTCGGCCGAAAGGGTGCAAATACTTAGGATGAGATGCTGTTTAACTCTTTAAAATGATTGAACCGGTTAGAGACGGAAAGCTCACTCCTTAATCGTCCCCAGCCTCTAGAAGCCACGGAGAGCCTTAACCTGGCGGGCAGAGTGAGTGCCGAGTGCCAGCCGATGTGCGTGGCTTCATGGGGAGTGGTGCCGCCCCTCCCCTGTCCCGCCCCGCCCCCCCCAGGACTCCCGCACCCGGCGACTCTGGGGCCACCCCACTTGGACAGACGCTGGCGGGGGTTGGGGGGCACAGTCAAATGGCGTATCTTTTATTTTACTGTCTTGTGGGATTGCCGCGAAGTGGCCGAAACCTGGAGAAGCGGCGCACATTATATGGAACCTTTTAGGGATGACTAAGGGCTCGGTTAGCTGTATGCTTGCTACTTTTCAGGGCCTGCCAAGGTGGTTTTAAATTTGGCCAAGAGTCCCCAGAGAGGTTTAAAATAACACTGCTTCAGGCAGCAGAGAAGTTTGATCAAGTGATGGTTGGTTAACTTCACAACTAGTTAGCTTTTTTAATGAGATTTCAGAGTGGATTTTTTCCCACGTGATTTAGGTCGCACCCGCCACCCTGAATAGAGCAGTTAGTGAGGAGGTGTGGTTCTTGCCGGAGGTCAAGGCTGATGATAATGAACGTTGGGATGTTCTGGAGGCCCCGTGGAAGGGTCTCTCCCAGGGAGAGCCAAAGGCAGGGCTGATCAGATGCATGTGGCTGGTAAGACATCTGCAGTATAAAATGGGCTTTGGAGACTTATAGGAACCTTGGTCAGCCAATTCTGTTGGTTCTGTTTCACATATTCAGAAAAAGTTGGAAAGCATTCACACTTGACCATGCTGTCTCCCCATCTTTAATAAGGTTCCTTTACAGCTGCTGTTCTGATAAGGAAGCACAGTGCTTGGTCCTCTCATGAACTCCTTTCCCTCTGTCCTATAACACCATGTTTAAGAGGAGGTTGTTGGAGTTACTTGGAAAGTATTGTCGTTTTTTGGTGTAATTGTTGGTACTTTTAAGATGAGGCCCTGGGCCTGTGGTTTCAAAATGATCATTGGCTGGTTTGGTTTGGTTTTGCTTATTTAAAGAGAGGCCACGTAACTGCATCTCATATTTTATTTCCTTTGGAAAGTGCTTCTTGTGGAGGTGGCTGCTGGCACAGGAGTAAAGCTGAATTTCCTCCTCATGGTTAATGCAAAATCAGGTTCTCTTTGCGGTTGTCATCTAGGTTGCCGTAAAACAGCACATTTTAAAGTTTGTGTCTGTAAGGTTGATGTGCCTGGCTTGGGGGATGTGACCTTTAGCGAGGCTCCCAGGGTGAAGTAGGGGTATATTAACCAGAGGGTGTTACTCACCAACAGCTGTTGGGCGGGCCTGGCTGTGTCAGCCATGTTCCCAGAGTTCAGCTCACAGGGACACCCACTGCCACCTTGAGCAAAGGCACTTTCTCCTTCAGGGAGCTGCCCAGTTGTGCAGTTGGGGAGGCCTGCGGAGCTTCTCTGTTAGCTCCCTGAGTCTGTCCAACTCAGAAGAGCATTCTGGGCCGTTCTGCTGAGTGATTTTCTCAGGCATATAGAAATGGCTGCTAATGCGTGCGTGCACGCACGCTGCTCTTTAATTCTCCATGAGGCAAGTGAGCTCAGTTGTTTCAGGAGAACCTTTTACACAGTCCAGAGTGGAAAACGAAGTGAAGTGTTAATCCCATTTTATATGCTACAGTCAGTCTTTTGAAACTAGTGATGTGGTAATTGCAGGTGTCTTATTTATGTTTGGGGGCTCTGTAATGCTAGGACATGGTTGGACAAAAACCTCAGCCTCTGTCAGAAGTGTACTCCTGCTAGAGAAGGTGTGTGCAAGGGATACTCTAAATACGAGACTCGTAGGAGGTCTCATGCATTTGGAAGTTTGCCATTCAGCTTCCAGTTAGATTGTCTTTAGGGTGGGGTAGCATCTTGATTGAAAATTTTTTTTTAAATTTTTCTACTTTTTGCTGGTATTAAACCCAGAAGATGGTCAAGAGATAGCAATTGGAATGTCTGTATTTTGTGAAGACTTTTTAAGAACTAAAATTCCAGCCACACCCCCCCTGCACAATGTGGCCCAACCAGAATCCCTCCTGCTGCTTGCTCCTGTCCTCCTAGAGTCTCATACAGATGCCACTTTTATAGAACCAGTGGCTTTATTTATATATTTATTTGTTTTGGCCACGCTGCATGGCATGCGGGATCTTACTTTCCTGACCAGGGATCGAAGCGCAGAGTCTTAACCGCTGGACCACCTGGGAAGTTCCAGAACCAGTGGCTTTAGAAGTTGAGACACTTAAAATTGTGTTTAGTTCAGTGCAGTTATTTCTAGAGTACCCTAAGAGAAAAGACCCCTTTGAGGTGGACTGAGGTGGGTTCTGATTTGTCCTTCTGTTTCCCAGTTGTGAGATGTTAACCTAGTTCAGAGTTTGTAAACTAGAGGTCTGCTGCTGAATTTGCTTTGCAAATTTGTTTGGCTTGACTAGCACAGGGTTTGTAAAGATTTTGTTACTAACATGGAAAAATCAGGATTTCCACACAAATCCAGATTTCTGGCTTCTCTGGAAAAATCGAATGAACTGGCAATACTGCGTCTGAATTCCTGGCCAGCAACAATTGGCTTGAACTGACGGTTCTTTATATGAGGCAGTGTCCCTTATTTTAATCATTTACATGGTCTCTGTTGGCATTTAAGTTTGCAGTCTCTTCTCTATTTGAGCCTCAGTTTCTTAATCCACAAGATAGGGTACCATCTCTGAACTTGGATTCTTGTGCAAAGATAATAGTTTGTGTGTACTGGGCAGAGCTTAAAATCAGGAAACATAGAAGAAACTTATTTTTAAGTAGTACAGTACTTTACATTTTCTAATACCGTGTTCAGTTTGTTTTTCTTCACCCTCTAGATCAGATGTCTTCTCAGGTGATGTACCTCTAAAATTTAAGCAGTGGATCCATGGTTAATCTGAGAAAAAGTACAAGGAATATGAACTTTTCTGTCTCCAGACCTTTTGGACACTTCAGAGTGTATTTATTGTTTCTGATTAAGTATTAGACCCATTGGAGTACTTTTCCTGAAAACATACTGAGCTTATTATTTGAAAATGCAACCCACTTTAAGTTTATCTTGGCACACCCCACCTCCACACGCCACCCCCCACCTCTGAGCACACACCCCAAATTGGCCTCCACAAACCCACATCCAAACCCACTGACTCCCCAGACTCTCTCCCACGTCCCCTCAGCCTCTCTAGGACCGCGAAAAGAAAAAAGAAAAAAGGATTATCCCAAGTTTCCTAACTTTGTGGTCACCCTGCGCATGCACACAGGCACACCCACGCACACATAGACACATGGGGGTATCTTTTGGAGAGGTAAACAACTGCATCCAAATTCCAGCTCAAAAGTCATCAGAACCAGCTGATGTAGAGTCATGCTAGGTTGCCATCGCAGTGATAGAAACCTTAGGCCTTACTTCCATGCCGGGTACAATTTTACTATCTTTTTGGAGGGACTTAAATCAGCTGTCCCCAAATGGTGACAGTGGGTTGAGCTTAAGGGCACTGCTTACAGGATTCTGCAAACCAGAAAGCCCTAAATCCCAATCAGCACACCCCAGTTTTGTGGGAAAAATTTTAAAACAACGTACTTTTTTAATAGGGCAGAAGGAAGTTCATGAAAAACAAGGAAAGACAAGAGCTGCAAAAGCAGCCAGCAGTGGCTGCTTCTGTTTCTCTTTATCCTGTTTGAACATTTCTCTGGGCTACCTAGAATATCTGGTGGAGGGGACCTGGGTAGCTCCCACCATGGAAGTTATCCTCCAAACAGGAAATAGATTTTCTGGCCCCTCTAGCAACGTCCATCACTGGCTAGCTCTAACTCAGGCGGATTTCCTTCCCTGAGACTAAAGTTTTAAAAGTTTGCTTATACAGGAGCCAGGCCTGCTCTGTGCCTTGTGAACTCTTCTTCCTTAATTGCTACAAAAAGCTTTGGAGTCAACTTTTTGGTTCGGGAGAGTCTAGTACCATCAGAGGTATGAGAAGGACCCACTTCCGTTACCCAGGAGGCAGGGGTTGAGGGACAGGGCAGGGTGTTGAAATGGCCTCTGGGCAGCCCATTAATTCGCCCCTGCCCAGTCTTTCCCACTTGCTCTTCTCTTCCTGAGTAGAAGGGAGGCCCTGTGCCTTGGTCCTGAAGGAAACCACCTCTCTGCCCCCTTCTCCTTTCCATAATGCTCCCCAAAGTGATGTAGAGTGGTATTTCATAGCCTGACATGCTTCATCCAAGATGTATTTACAATTAAGTCTGAGTGGGGCCTGCATAGATCATCGTTTTGCCACCTTTTCTTCCACTTTCTCTCCCCTAAGGAGATTAGCCATTTTTTCCCCTGTAATTGTCCTCCCCGTGACATTTTACTACCACAGACATACTGTAGAGCTGCTTATGTACTGTGCCCCTTTATAAGGCCACAAACCATTGTAATAGCTAAGACTTTTATAACCTGCCAAAGAGACAATCTTTGCCCTGTGGGGGCGATTTCACCCCCATCCCCATCCCCAGTGAGACTGTCTAGACCTAGGCTCATGTAACCTGTCGGGGAAAAAATGAGAGCAAAGGACTGCAAACAGGCTCTAGCTGTGGAGGATGATAGGAGTCTAAGAATTGCAAAGATGTCCTGCAGGGTTTGCCTCTGGGTTTCAGACAAGAGGCTAGAGGCTCCCTTGCTTCCAAGGAAAGATGGCCCACAGCTGCTTGAGCCCCAGCTCACTGCTGTAATCTCACCCTGGGGACTGAGGCCTGTGAGGGGGCCTAACAGCTCGTTATTCCTGGTCCTGGAGGTAGGAAGGACCAGTTGCTCCCTCC